TAAAGTCCAACACTCATTCATTCATGATAAAAACCCTACAGAAAATAAGAATAGATGGTGTTTACCTCAAACTGATAAAAGCCATCTATGACAAACTAACAACCAACATCATACTAAATGGACAAAAATTGAAACCTTTCACTTTAAGATCAGGAACAAGGCCAAGATATCCGTGGTCACCACTCCTATTCAATATAGTTCTGGAAATATTAGCCAGAGCACTTACACAAGCGAGAGAAATAAAAGGAATAAGGATAGGAAGTAAGAAGTGAAGTTAACATTATTTGCAGATGACATGATACTCTATCCAGAAGACCCCCAAAATTCCACCAAAAGGCGTCTGTATTTAATACCCAAATTCAGGAGCATAGCTGGATACAAAGTCAACACTCAAAAATCAATAGCATTCCTGTACACAAACAACAGACTGAGAGAGAAAGTAGGGAATCCATACCTTTCACAATAGCATCTAAAAAGCTGAAATACTTAGGAATCAACCTAACAAAGGAAGTAAAAAATCTATACAGTGAAAATTACAGTGCTCTGAAAAGAGATCAGAGAGGATTTCAGAAAATAGAAAGATGTTCCTTGCTCATGGATAGGAAGAACTAGCATTGTGAAAATGGCCATATTCCCAAAATTATTGTACAGATTCAATGCAATTCCAATTAAAATACCATTAATATACCTCACAGATCTAGAAAAAACATTCCTAAAATTCATCTGGAACCAGAAGAGGCCTAGAATAGCAAAAGCAATCCTGGGAAACAAAGAAAAGGCAGGAGGCATCACAATCTCTAACTTGAAATTATACTACAGAGCTACTGTGATAAAATCAGCATGGTATAAGCAAAAAAAAAAACCAGACCTGAGATCAATGGAGCAGATTAGAAGATGCAGACACAACTACAAACACACTCAGCCAAACTGTCTTTGACAAAGGGGCCAAACAAGTTCACTGGAAGAAAGACAGCCTCTTTAATAAATGCTGCAGAAAAAACAGGCTTTCCACATGCTGAAGACTAAAACTAGACCCATGTCTTTCACCATGCACTAAACTAAAGTCAAAATGGACCAAAGACATAAATATTAAAACAGAAACACCAATTCCTGCACAGGAAATACTTCAAAGAATCAACCACTGGGATCTCATCTTATTGAAAAGTTTTTGCACATCAAAAAAATCACCAACAGAGTAAAAAGAAAACCCACGAATTGGGAAAAATATTTAGCCAAGTGCCTCTCAGACAAAGGACTCCTATCTAGAACATATAAAGAATTTTAAAAAAAATCAGGCCCCCAAAATTCAAAGACCCAATACAAAAATGGGTATCTGAAATGCATACACACTTCTCAGATGAAGAAATATTAATGGCAAATAAATACATGAAAAAATGTTCAACATCATTAGTCATTTGAGAAATTCAAATTAAAACACTGAGATTCCATCTCACCCCAGAAAGAATGGCTATCATTAAGAAATCAACCAATAACAAATGCTGGAGAGGCTGTGGGGAAAAAGAAACCCTTCTCCACTGCTGGTGGGAGTATAGATTGATGAAGCCACTGTGGAAATCAGTGTGGAGATTCCTCACAAAACTTGGATTAGAAATCCCACTTAACCCAGCTATTCCCCTTCTGGGTATTTTTACAGAAGAATTAAAAGCATCATACCACAGCAATACATGTGCACCCATGTTTACAGCAGCACAATTTGTCATAGCTAAATCTTGGAAACAACCCAAATGCCCATAAACTGAGGAATGGATAAAAAGATGTGTTATTTTTATACAATGAAGTATTACTCAGCTATAAAAAATGATATATTCAAGGCTTTTATAGGTAAATGGATGCAACTAGAGACCATACTCAGAAGTGAAATAAATCAGACCCACAGGTATAAACACCATATTGTGTCCCTAGTGTAAGAACCTGAAAGAGTAAATAAAACACAAAATGTACAATAGATATTATGAAAGGGAAAGAAATTGCTCAAAAGAAGGAACAACTGGGATGAGGGAAAGGAGAAAAAGAAAGAAAGAAGGAAGGGAAAAATATATATAGCTGGGATAACTGTATGTTAATGTCTAATGGTTTGTTGAAAGGCTCACTTAATGCCCAATTTTTTTTTCTTTTTGACTAATTTTGCATGCTTATGTCTGGTAATCTGAAGAACTAATTTGAAGACAACAATATGCAATATAACAACCACTGGTGAATTCCTACCATCTTGTCTAGTGGAACTATGTATTGTTTCTAATTTTTTTTTGTTTTTATTTTTTATTCTCTTTAATGGTTTGATCAATCTTGCAGTTCACATCTGCTAATCTGAGCAACTTCATTGAAAATAATAATGTGGGGGCTGGGGATTTAGCTCAGCGGCACAGCACCTGCCTGGCAAGTGCAAGGTCGTGAGTTTGATTCCTGGTACCAGAGAAAAACAACAACAACAACAACAAAATAATAATAATGTGTAATATAACAGCCACTGTTAATTCCTACTATTTTGTTCTAAAACCCTGTATTATTTTCATTGTTTTTGTTTTGTTTTTTTTTTGTCTATGTTGTTATTTTCCTATTGTTCTTTTTCTATTATTCTCTTTAAAATAAAAAAAGTTTTTTGTTTTAACAATTTCTCCCTTCATCAATGCCCCTTACAGATTGTACTATACTGCTATGAACAGTTAGACTCAGATGTAGAGGGACAAAAAGACTCAGATGTAGGGAATAAAAACATAAGAGGAAGACTGGGCATGGTAGTACATGCCCGTAATCCCAGCACTTGAGAGGCTGAGGCAGGAGGATCACTATGAGTTCAAGGCCAGCCTGGACTATATAGCAAGACCCTGTCT